AGACAAACCCTTCACAGTAAAACCCACTTCTTCAATCTCCCAACTTTCTTCCATTGTAGTCTTTGAATGACTCTCTAAGCTCTCATCAAGCCTCACCAATGAGACACGTGGCCTTCCTCTGTGAGCGATCTGAATCCCATCAACGCTCTTATAGTCTTGGATCATTGTCTCAGCTTTTGTTTCCCATAAGACCAATGTCATCTTCTTCCGGACCGGTCTTGATCCGTACGAGATAAAGTGTCTTCTAATTGGACCAAAAGTCCTGTTCTTTGACTAAAACATCCCCCACACGGTATGCTTCACCGTCTCTCTACCGCTCTTCCTTCTTGATTTAAGCCCTGAAGGTTGCTTTTCGAGCTTAAGAACAAAGCAGTCTTCGCCGTTAACCGCTTTTCTTTCACGCAAGGGCGAGACTGCCATAAAACTAAGCCTTGACCATTCTGTGAATATGGAATTGTGTTAAGTTATATGGGTTTCCAACTCAAAACCAATTGGCAATAAGTGGATTGGCCCAAATCTTATATATATTAGTGTTTGGGCCACCCTACTTGGGTTAACAAACGAGGCTCTGATACCATGTTAAGTTATATGGACTTCCAACTCAAAACCAATTGGCAATGAATGAATTTGCCCAAATCTTATATACTAGTGTTGCTCCTTTTAAACTTCCGATGTGGGATTCCAACAAGTTTGCAACTTTAAACTCTCTCTTGAGATTTATGTCACGCATTCAATAGTTTGAGTTTTGTGACACTTTTAGATCGCCACAGAATATGATTTTACAAAGATACGTACGTCATGAGACGAATGTGTGACATCGTGTTATGTGGGTGTGGATGTGCACGTGTAAAAAGAACTTAATTGTTGAATTGCATGTCGACTATACAATTAATATTTTAGCAATTAGTAAATTTTCTCGACGACAGGTGGCTGGATTGTTCTATATGATCCCCAATTAGTAAATGATCCCCAATTTCGATTTTTTGGATATTCAAAGGATACGTTTCCATTCGTTTCTATCACCACAAAGTATGTCGAAAGATGACTTATCTTCAGTGTTCACAACAGCGAAGCGATATAATGATTTCTTTTTTCTGTGCTCTGTCTTCAACTACATGAGTCTAATCACTCGTTCCATTCAAAGTCATGGACTAAGGATAATTATATATTCATTTTGTTTCACATTTCACTGTTTCTTGTGCTATCATTCTTAGAAAGTTTCATTTTTATTTCTTGGCTATTAAGTCTATTTAAAGTCTCAACTGATCTTGCATGATCTAAGAGCTAATCTAATTAGTTTCAGACGCTTCCAAATAATAGCCATAATCATCTTGAACCATCCAAGTATCCAATCTGTTTATGCATAAATTTCTTACACATATTATTAAAGCTTTAAAATTAAGAAAAGGGCAAAAATACAGTTTATAATATAGATATAAAAAAACCGAAAAAATCTCCATGATTTAATACAAATATATCAAAAGTTAAATTTAGAATTTATTTAAGAGAACAATTAAAAGTATACAAGGAAATTTATGAAAAGTAATAAAGTTCCTATTATTATCATACTAATAAAACCTAAATATTAAATTTACAAACGTTTAGAACGGTGATATCTCAGTTGGCAGAGCGTGATCCGAGTAATCAAACGATTTTATCGGGTCTAGGCCGCGTGTTCGATTCACGCTCGCCGCATCTTTTTTATTTGTCAATTGTTTTCGAAACACATGTGTAGGAGAAAGCAAAGACTCTACGCATAAATTTACTCGTAGTGGTAATCGGTTCTGCTTCTGCATACGAGTTTTGGATATTCAATAGTATATCCATGACTTATCTTCAGTCAGTTAGTTGAGTGTTCACAACAGCTAAATGAAAACATTTAAGGATCAGTGTATGAAATATATAACTCATTTTTTTAAGCATAAAACGAGATTTTCACAAAATCAGATGTTACAATAATGTTACAAAAGGTACAATGAGAGGGTACACCATATACTAGGATACTATATCTCTTTTGTAAGCTTCTACGAGGAAAAACTCCATTAGCCACAAACTCTCTCTCTCTCTCTCTCTCTCTCTCTAATCTTCCTCTTACCGCAAGAGTAAGATGTGTTCTCCTTTTTCGCTCTCACTTTGTATATTACCTCGTCCATAGCTATATAGAACATGAAGAGTGGTCGTAACAAGTGGAAAGCGCAGCAATCACCAGAACCATAAATTGCGACTATCTACGGCTTTCATGGAAGTGTATACAAGTGGCATTCTCCCGAACTCTGCTACAAACCGATTTACGCAGTGTGTTCTTTTTTCTGTGTGCCCTCCTATGCTACTGATTCCTGTTGAACCGATTTCATATATCTTACCTACAAAAGCAACCCCAAAAAGGAGGAGAATATGAGCTCTGCATCATCAGAGGTTATCGGAATCATATGGGTTCTACGAGTTTCTCCTGGTTGGAAATTACCTTTAACCCATATAGGAGGAGCGTTCGTAGCATTTGCGATGAGGAATGACATTGCGATATCTTCGCAGTTCCTGTAGTTAGATGCGACTCATGCTTATAGGTGGCGTGGCATAGATACAAAGATCAGAGAAAGAGATTAACCAAAAGTGATAAGGAACCTGTTCTTTGTTGTGAATTCCCTGATTGATGCCGGCATGCTATTTGTGTAAAGGCTGAGGTACTTTTTGTGGAAGAAGGCTGCCTTTGAGAGTACCATGCTATATGTACCACTCCACCAAACAGACCACCATCCACTGTAGGTGTAGTAATCGCCTTTATCATTCTGCAGAGATCAAATTCAACTTTCTGATCCCACGTACGCATTACACTAAGCTTCTTAGATAATGAAACAAAGATAATTTCAAAGTTCAAACAGCTTTTACAGAGAGCCTTTTCAATATTGCTACTAGCAGATTATATGAATAATAATGGGACAGTGAAAGAGTCCTAAATAACCAACGACTAAAAGAGAATGCATTTTTACTTACCGATTTTTCAGGCCAATGCACACGCGGAACGAACCCCACCATTGTCTCTGGGGCACTCTCCCAAACGTTGAATGCAAAATCTATCGTGTGGCAAGGAAATATGATATCGTCATCTATTGAGAAGACCGCGTCCGTTTTCAAGTCTTTAATCTCTTTAAACCTGTTGTTCAAACTGTCTTCTTTGTTTATATCAAACCTAAGCTCAACCTCATGACCATCTCGCGATTTTTTCTTCAGAACCTTTTGAAGGTACTCTTTAAGGGAATCCGATGGAGGGTTAGGTTCACTCCATACAACGTGGATAGAGTCAAGCCTAGAGCATGATGCGTAGTGGGAAACAGACTTCTTCAAGAGATCATATCTCTTCCATGTGTTCATCAGGAGTGTATAACCTTTCCTGCAGATTTGATCAGAAAAATCCATCAAATTAGACAACAAAGAACACAACTTTGCGGTCTAACCAAAAGCTGTAAATAGCATGTCAGGGGAGTTAAATATTCCTCAAAGGTTGAAACTTAACAATCATAACGTAGTCATCAGCTTAACATAGCAAGATTGTGAATTCATCTATTGGATAAACGAGAGCATCTACAAATTCCAGAATCATTCATTATCACCTTCTGCAATCATAAACCCATCGAGTGCAAGGAGCTTAAAGACACCTACTTTGGTTATAAATAGATCGAGAAACAACGCAAAATCCTATATAAGTCGACCCATTTAGAACCCAACCACACAATACACAAACATTTGCCTACGAGGACAATCAACCAAACAAAATCACTAAAGCGATTGAAAGTTCTACTAAAAATACTCTCGTAGCCTTAAGAATTTCCAGTTTAAATGATTTAAGCCGACGAATGGAGGAAAAATGTCATCTTACTACTTTAAATAGCACTTATCAAATGGAGTATTACTTTCCTTCTACTTTTGTGCAACCAATATTACTACTTTCCTTAATTACATTTCTCATAAAATAATTCTAGGAGATCCGAATCGAAGTCAGACCCAACATAATACACAGCAAAAATTCAAGGGAAGATGCAGAAAAACTTGAAGAAAACGTCTACACACCTTGATTCGGAGATCCGATCTGCGACGGCGGTTGAACTGTTAACCCAACCGATCGCCGAGGGCCGAGAAGATCGGCAAGCGAGTGTGATTAAAGCGAGAGCGATACAGCAAAACAGAAGAAACTTAGTGCTCCTCGCCGTCACGAACTTGCGTAGTTTCTGATCTCCGCGGCGATAAGCTAATGAACAACCTCCCATCTCTTTACTAACGTCTCCTCCTCCCATCAATAAAAGGAATTCAAGTTTCCAGAAATAGATAGCGCCGGAAGAAGAAGAAGAAGAAGAAGAAGAAGAAGAAGAAGAAGAAAACGACGACTCTGGTCAACCGTGTCAAGAGCGGGTCGACTCAGTCTTCGCTCTCATGCGGATTTTGGTTTCTCCTCTTTCAGTTTTAAGTCCTTTCCTGCGGAGGATTATAGCAGATCAGAGACTAGGGATGTTTTATCGTGCGGCACGGCGCACAGTAAGAGAAAACCAAATACCCACGTGTAACAATCGTAGCCGTTTATGTTTGGTTCTCAACCACGATCTATGACGTTTTCCCGGTTTCTTGTAAACTGTCTTTTGTGGCTTTTCAGCGTGGGTCCCATTTTCATAGGAAATACCTTGAATGCTCTGACCAAATATTTTTATTTTCTTTATAAAGGAAACAGTGGTAGTATATATATAAATGGTAAATGTACATATATGAAAATCAATACTATCATATCAAGTTATCAACATTATGTATGTTTTTTTCTGTATTACTATTTTATTATTTTTTTCAATCTCATTTATTATGATGATAATACATGAATTATTTAGTTGATAAAAATATTTAGAAGGATTATGAACAATAAACATATTAATCGAAAGTGCCGACATATATATACCTGCTAAAAACCAAAAGCCCTAATCTTGATTAGTCGCTATTTGAAACAAGCGAGACTAAAAAAGATGAAGAGAGGAAGAAGGAAGAATCGGAGACAAGAGCAGGATTTGAGGCTTAAGGAATGTCATAGCATTGTCTCTCTCAGAGGTTCCAATCAAATTGAGGTAATAAATACGCCGCCTTCTTTCGCCAACTGATTTTTCATGTTGAAGTTTTAGCTAGGGCCAATGATGAGAGTTCCCAATCACTTGTTTTGTTTTCGTTCTCTTTGAAGATAATGGATGCAAAAGGAGAGAAGCCATTAGCATCGAGAAGAAGATCAGGAAGAAGTGATGTGTGTGAGGTTCCTTTGGATGTCGTGATCGAAGTTCTTCTAAGGTTGCCACCAAAGTCCATGTTGAAGTTCAAGTGCGTCTCAAAGCAGTGGTCATCCATCATCTCTGGTCCCTGTTTTCGCCACCGTTTGTTTACGCTCACACGACGACGACGACAACAACAACAACAATACATGTCTCTAGAGGATGACGACGGCCAAGGTATACTGCTACCAATATCATCAGACACGACTTGTTTTGTGGTGGACCAAGATTTGAGCATCCCACGGCATGTAGGCTTGTTCTTGAACGTTGTTCGCGGCTTGATATGTTTCCCTGTAAGCGGAACAGCGTGCGTCTATAACTCCACTACAGGACAACACTTGACCTTACCCGCCGTACAACCCGACATCGATGCTTCAAAATCGAAAACTAGGAAGGATACTCGGTACTATATAGGATACGATCCCGTTAATGATCAGTACAAACTAGTCTGCACGATCGCAATATCGTCGGGTTTTTACGTTGACGTAAAGTCAGAGCACTGGGTCCTGCTACTAGAAGCTGGAGGAGGTTCGTGGAGAAAAGTTGTTCCGGTCGAGTCTTCTTATCATCCTCATGTTCCGTCGAAACAAGTATGGTCTACTAGCAATGGATCTGTACTACATTATACGGCTTGGATTGATGAGTACACTTGTGCGGTTGTGAGTTTTGACGTGAGGTCTGAAGAGTTGACTACCATCCCAGTGCCTGAGGAAGATGAGGAAGAAGCAACTTGGAAGAAGAAGGGTCTTGTAGAATACGGTGGGGAAATAGCTGTTTTCGATCACACTAGCCTCGAGGACGAGGGTTTGGTGGATCTATGGGTATTGGAAGACGCCGGTGAGAAGAAATGGTCGGAGAAGAAGAGGCTGGTTTTGCAGCCTTGTCAAAGGGGTTTAGTCACTGTTGATGAAGGCAGTGAGTTGGTCGTAAAAGGTACAACTCAGGACGGCAAGGTCATCTTCGCACCGTTGAAGATGCATTCTTCTCAGTTGTACATTCTGTTTTACGATCTGCAAAGGAATGATTTGAGAAAGGTTGAAATCAAAGGAGTACCACCTCTTTGGTCTGATAAAGACTGCTATTTTGGGTTGAGATTAATGATGGATGAGAGTGAGAGCCATTTTTGTTTTAAATCTCTCAACTGTTAATTTTTTTTCTTTTCTAATTATGATGAAGCCACTTTTCTTAATGCTATCTTGACTTAATTTACATTCAAGATTATATAAAAAAAAATTCAATTATGACGAAGTCTGAGTTTGTGTTTATCTGTTTTCAAAAACCTCTGTTTTAGTGGCAATTCATTTCTTATCCTTATGTTGTCTATGTGTACCAGATACGTTACTGATTTCCTCTGCACCTATGTTGTCTATGGAAGGTCGGTTCATAATCCAAATTTACTAAGTTAACTTGGCCCACAAGTTACTCAGGCTCCTGCTTTTGATCAATCTCAGACTTTAACTTTGCTTGAATCAACACATCTCTGAATGCTCTTCTTCTTCTTCTTCTTTTTCTTTACTCTCACTGTGAAAACCAGTTGATTGATTACTACGTGAAAGAGAAGTACACACTGCGATACACAGGAGGAATGGTTCCTGACGTTAACCAGGTTCGTTCCTCTCTCTGGCTTTTAAACCGGATCTTTACTTGCTGAACAAGATTTTACGGCTAAGGCAAAGCTGAGGCTGTTGTTCGAAGTGGCTCCTCTTGGCTCATTGAGAATACTGGTGTGTGTTAGTTACAGTTCTTCTAAAACGAGTCAACAACGTCTTTGGAAAGTCAACGGCGTGAAAGGTTCAGGGACAATCAGAGGGTCCCCGTTTAGTGAAAAAATCAGTTGTATGGATATGAAACATCCAGATTGAAACAAATGATTTTGATAGATTCAATAAATACAAAACACGTCCGTTTAGTGTACCCATACTAGTGCTCTTACCACTGGATTGAAGGGCATATATAGGCTTACCGAGCACACCATTCTGCTCCAGATCCTTATGTACAAGAAGGGTTTCCTGTAAGGACAAGACAAAAAGAGAGAAGATGAAGTGAGACAAGAAGTAATAAGTGAACATAAAACGAAATCACTATGAGAGTCTGTAACCATCGCGTTACAGGCTGCTGGATAGTCTAACTTTACTCCAATCTATGAATATGATGAGGTGGTTGTACCTTGTGTAAGATACCATTTGATCGACGAGAGCTTTCTTTCCACCCTTGAGCAGAAGACCATTTCCACTTGGCTATCTGAAGAGAAAGGCGTGTGGCGAAAGAAAAGGAGAAACAGGAGATGGTCAGACGAGGGTTGCTTGAACCACCAAAAGCAAAGGGGGAAAAAATGAGCAACCTAATGAAGGTTCTTGCGTCTGAAGCAAGCTCGAAAAAAGAGATCCGCACAGCAGCTGCTGAGCGTGAACAGGCTTACACCGACAGGAACGCAGCGAGGAAGCTGACACGTGAGAAGAAAGAAAGGAAGCTTTTTGATGATCCAACAACACAGGTGTACAAGATCAAGAAGCTATCACATCCCAAAACAAGATTCAAAGTGGAGATGAATGCAAGACAGAACACGTTAACAGAGTGTAGTGTGGTGGTGATGACGGATGGGATGAGTGTTGTTGTGGTTGAGAGTAAGAGCACAACAATAAAGAAGTACGTGAAGCTGATGCTGAAGCGATTAAACTGGAAAGAGGCAGAGAAGAAGAAGAAGAAGAAGAAGTTACTCTCTTCCTCTTCATATTCTCTCAAACTTGTGTAATTGTCTCTGTTACAAGATTAAAAAACGTCTGTGTATTGTCATTTTGATCCTTTTTTCTCGGATATACTTTACAAGTTTGTTTTCAGATCATACGTTTTAAAGAATTTTGTGTGTCCTTTCCTATTTTACAACAAATTACAAAGGATTTATCATCTATGTCTTCTTCTTCTTCTTCTCTACTGGCTCATCTTCCTCTTGTGGAGTAGAAGAAGAAGCAACGGACTGCGCGAAATCAGAATCCATTATGACACCATCCATTGTGTGAACGATTATCTTCCCTCTCTTTATTCCCATTTTCTCCGTGTCGACGCCATTAACCACAAGCCCACCACCATTTCTCTTCTTCCAAATCCTCAGTGTGAAACCACTCAAGGACTCATACGACGCCGTTTCGTCCTTCCCTATGTCTCCTTCCTCCACTTTATACGGAACCACAGCGAAACTCATGATCCTCGATACGACGGCGTATGTGTTGTCTCCGTCGTCGCCGTCTTCAAGGGATTTTGTTTCCCGGGTGTTGTTCGGTTTCACCATCCCCAGATCTCGATTGAATGCTTTGTCCGACGGTACAAAGGCAGTGAAAATCAGATCTTCAGGTAGCATTTCAATCATCATGTTCCCAAAGAATCCAAATTCATCGGAGAGATCGTCTCGAAGTTTCCGGGGAAAGTGATGGTCACCGGTGATCGGAGATGTTTCCGGTAGTCGAAGAGAGGAGAGGATGAGAATGGTTAAGGAAGAAGTAGCGATGAGCAGAACTAGGAAGTAAACTGGGTTCCTCATAAAACGAAGTTTCCTCATCGTTTTCTTCTACTTTCCTTGCACTGATTTCATCGATTAAGCTCGCTTAAGTTCGAGGAAGAAGAAGATCGATCTGGGAATAAAAAGGAGTTTTTGTAATTTACACGTAATTTGGATTTTTGTGGGCCTTTTCACAGTTTTGGGCCAAATCATATTTTGATCTGACTTTAATTTAAATATGAAGGGGTTCATTTTGATAAATTCAGGAATTACGGGGTTTCTTAAAAATAATTATAGAGTAACGGGTACGTTTGCAAATACATGTTTTCAAAACCGCCCCATGTGCCTGTTCCTGATCAGACCGGGCTATGAGCACTGGCGAAGAGGATGCTGATTCCTGGTTTAATTGTTTGGTTTAATCATTCCATCCACGATTTCATCATTATATAATGTTTTTAGTCCTTTTTGAGAATGAAAGCACAAAAGAAAAACAATTATCAATAAATATGAAAGATTCACTTGAAAAGATAAAACATACTCCCTCTGTTTTATAATAAATATTATTTGGAGAAAATGTATCTGCATTATAACTGGATGTATCTGAATGTGTTTTGAGTTTAATACATTTAGATATATTGCAGATATTTTTTCTCCAAATGACACTTATTATGAAATAAAAAAAGTAAATATTATCAATAAATATAGAAGATTCATCTATGGTAAAAAATAATAAAGCACTTACTAAAAATAATAAATAATTATGGTAATATATATTAGCTCTGAAAATTTCGAGATTCGAGAAGAGAATTTACAGGAACAGGATGGGAACAGGAAATTTGAGAATTCAGAAATGATTTACATAAGGGGATCCGACAAAAATAGAACGGGAAACTACGGGTACAGAACGGAAATCTGCGGATATGGAACGGAAACAGAAATCTCAAACTCTCAATAAATATGGAAGAAACAAAAACAAATCTCTAATTTAAATTTTAAAAAAAAAACATTATCTTTAAATAGAAGAAGTAAATCATAGGAACTTCTTGTCTGTTGCGTTATAAACCCATGCGATCTATGGAACTTCTTGGTTTAACGAAGAAGAAACAAGTGTTTGGTCATAATGTTGTTGCTTCTCATATAAATAACCCAATAGAAAAAAAAGTAGATAATCCGGTTTATATAAAAACAAACATATGCTTTCAGTTTTAATTTTTAAAAGGGTTTCTAAGCAGTAACTCCAATGGGAACATTCTTGAGTCTTGATGTTCCGTAAAGGGTTTCTTCGAAGCGGATGATCTCGTTCTTTGAGCCATAAGCAACTTGAGTTCTATCGTCGAGGTTGACGATGGTCTTGTCGAGCACAGACTTGTATCCATCACTGCTGAATCCACCAGCATTCTCAATGAGCAGGCCAAGAGGAGCCACTTCGAACAACAGCCTCAGCTTTGCCTTAGCCGTGGGAGAAGTCACGTTCGTGAAGATTCCTTTCTCCTTCACAATAATCTGAACCCAAAAAACAAAGTGTTATAAAAGTCGTCAAGTCTGATTCAGAAGTAAAAGATCCGGTTAAAGAAAGCCAGAGAGGAACGAACCTGGTTAACGTCAGGAACCATTCCTCCTGTGTATCGCAGTGTGTACTTCTCTTTCACGTAGTAATCAATCAGCTGATCAGAAGAAGAGCATTCAGAGATTAATTTGTAGATTCAAGCAAAGTTAAAAGTCATAGATTTTGATCAAAAGCATGGAACCTTGCTGTATTCGGAATTGTCAAACGTGGCTCTTAAGTTTCCTGGTGAAAACATTTTCCCTTCTGCGATCTCTGTTGTCTCCTTAACATGCTGCCATTTACCTGAGAAACAATTTGAGCTTTTAGTCGAAGAGAGCTACCAAAAGAGTGAAAAAAAACCTTGCTTCTTGATTTGGACCAAAAAAGCAGGGGAATACCTTCATCAAGAAGCAAGAACTCATGAGTTCCTGGAAAGCCCTTAACAGCCAAAACATAAGTGGTTCGTGGACCATAGATTCCCATGGCTGCAGCCACTTGATCTCCTCCCGTGACTCCGGTTAACTTGTCTCCAGGCCAGACTCCGAATATGGTTCCCACGGTGAAATTTGTATCAACAATGCTCGATCCATCCAACGGATCAAACGCAACACTAAACCCACCTGTTCCAAAACAAATTTCATATTATTTCATTGTTTTAGGAAGTCAGCCATAGTTTATAATGAACCGACCTTCCACTGGACCTCCCATGTCTTGAAGCTCAGGTACTTCTTCAGAGCACGCGTACTTACACACATGCGAGTATTGCAAAGCCTATAGAAAAAACCAAGACACAAATCAAAACCTAATGTTTATTTCCGAAGATGAAACTTATGAAACAAGTTATTGAAAAAAAAAACCTCAAAGAGAAGCTTATCGGCGAGCATGTCGACAGCGAGTTGTTCATCGCCAAAGGAATTAACACAAGCTGTTCCACCACAAGAAGCTGTCCTAACTTTGAAAGCTATTGTCCTCAATGCTTCTCCCATACACATCAGCAAAGTTCTCAGCCCTTTGTCAGGCGTTGCTTGTGTCAAAAACTCTTCCTATACACACACTCAAAAGTAAGAAACACTTTCACTCAAAAAAATCGGATCTTTACCACAGGAATTGTATAAAGATTGACTCTTTTGTTACCAGGCTTTGACCAATTTCACATTTGGTCATCGTTGAAGCACCATTGTTCTTAGCCTTCGTGGCTTTCAATTGCGATCTTGGTGCTACTCTCAGTGAATCTCCGAAAATTGAGCTCGACTTCAGACGCTGTTGATATTCAAAATTTTAAGTACCCTTTACGATTAGGAACACATTCGTTAAATTGAATCAATCAGAATCAATCAGAACAGATTCTCCTCTGTACTCACACGTGTGCGTGTTTGTGTGTGTGTGTGAACTCAAAATTGTAGAGGGTATTACTAACCTTGAAGCTGGATGATGCAGAGAAGGAAGAAGGAGGGGAAACCAATGTAGAGGAGGATCGTTGAGAAGAGACGCTTGGGAGGAGGATCCCGCGTGAGTAGCACGTGATGCTGGTCTCCATTGCTAATATCTCTGAAGTTCGAGGTTAATCGGAGAAGAAGAAGAAGCAGAGAGCTCTCTACAGAGGATAATGGTGGAGACAAAAAACCAAACCCAAGTGGTTTTGGAGAAGATAAAGGATGTTTAACGCTCAGAGTGCCACGTGGCAGTCTGAGAAGATATGCTTATACGGCTCTGGTGATGGGCAATTGGGCAAAGAGAACGAGATCTGTTGAGGCATTTGATTTGCCATCATCCATTTATTGTGTGGATATGGTCTTTTTTCTATCATTTTGAGATTATATCATATCTCCAATTTCATATCTTACCACTCGAGTAAACTTTATTATATTCTAATCACATTTGTAATTTTTTTTTTTGACAACTAATCACATTTGTATTTGCTTAAGTTAATAGTTGATATGTATTACAACATTTTATATGCGATATGTAATGATTGTTGTATCTCACAAACGCTTAATCGACTAGTTAAGGTTAGGCCCAATCACGCGTTGGACTTTCGGTGTTACTAACATACATATATATCAGCTAAGCCCAAATTAATGGTATTTACTAATTTTAAAAAGAAATTAAAAAACAATTAGTTGATTTTATCAGAGCCAGGTTTCGATCCTGGGACCTGTGGGTTATGGGCCCACCACGCTTCCGCTGCGCCACTCTGATTTATTAATTATTATTTTAAACTATCTAATATTTAATAGTGTTTTGTAGGAATGTCAGAAAGGAACGATTTATGATTCTTATTTCTATCTTAGAAGAATTATTTACCTGTTTTTTTTTAACCATTCGAACTTTTGTAAAATTTGAGGTTTTGGTCAACCGTAGCTCAGTTAGAAGATAAATCGTAAAGAAACATAAAATGAAAAGTTGGTATGATATCTGACCGGGTTGAGCTTCCATACTTTTAGTTTATATCTAAACCGAATAAATCATACATATGTCAATTCGTTCTGAGCCGCCGGATTGGTCTATGGAATTTTAGTCCATAATAACATTCATAATGTTTTAAACTTTTTAACACACAACAACCAAAAAAACTAATATACCGATGAATAATTGGCTATTGGACAGACCACAGTGCTTGAGGTAGTCACCGCTGCTTCTACCGCCTGTACCACTCCCTCCGCTACCGCCGCTACCTCCGCCACCACAACTTCCACTGCTACCGCCTCCACCGCCACCACGACTTCCTCCTCCACCTCCTCTGGTTTTAAGCTCCCGCCGCCAAACCGAAAAATTGATCTCATCAGAAGACGGTTTATTACCGGTGACGGAACTATGATTCAGAAAGGCGAGTAAAGCAGAGGACTCGGTGGTTGAGCCAACGGTTTGTTTATGCAAATGAATAGCTGGTAGTAATAGTAACACCTGAGCCATTGGTTTCATTGATTTGCGTATTGCCATTTTGTTGATCTCTAGCTGCTAAGAAGAACAAGATGCGTTTGTGTTAATTGTCTATAGACGACCTTTATTTATATGAATGTCATCCGAAGTTCGGTCCATGCATATCTCAATCTTTGACTTTTATTATTAGTATTAATTTAAGCAGGAAAATTATCAAGAACTATTCTGGTTAACTTCCAAGAAAAGAAATGAATATAACGTTTCGGACCGGAGCAAAGAGACTAAAGTCAAAATGATTCTTGCAGATTGAATCGTTTTATCCTTTTATTAAAATGGAAAATATAATAGCAACAGATCAAGTGTATGATGTTCTAACATCCCTCCCAAATATGGACTTTGAAAGTTCTATTATACCACCCCAAATACTTATTCCTATCACCAAGGACTTCAGGGTTTTTCGTAAGAAAGAAATTGATGTTAATATAATACATATGATTTTGTTTGTGTTATGATATCTTCTTTTCGAATTATTATAGTACATCATTGGGGATTTTGATTGGTAAGACGCAAACGGAAACGTATTTTTTTGCCTTGACTGTTCAATCTAGGGTATAAAATAAAAGTCTGATCAGTTCTCGTAAAATATACAAATAGCGTTGTAACATTCGACATATTAAAAAAAATAGGCAATGTGTATAGTTGAGGGACAGCTCACGTGGATTTGGTCAGTGTTTAGAATGTTAAACGTTGGTAACATCTCATAGTTATTAGACTTAAAAAGATCAATAAAAGGGTTTAATTTCCTCGGTATTTGTCTCGCTGAGTCGCTGTCACGACGCAAACAGCAAACCCTCAGACTAAAAACATCAATGCATCATATTCATGCCTCATGTTCTTAGAATTAGCTTCGTTACCAAGAAAATGCTTCTTCAATGTCAAATACAGCAAATCCGCAAAACTGTGACTACACTCAATCAGTTGATTCTGTGAATGCTATACTTAGCATGATTCTGTCTACTCGGGTTTTTAACAAATTTTTTATTTCTCTCTTTTCAAATTAGCAATGATTTCGGTTTCATTTTTACTATAACTCAGCTTCAGGGCCGGACTAATATTGGTTTTGTAAGGTTTGTCGCAAAGCTAAGGACCTTGAATTCATACAAAGTGACATATTCATCATAACTTCGATTTGTGAAAACAATTTAAAACAAATTTGAATACGTTTAAAACAAAAATAGTAAACTTTTGAAAAAAACTAACCAAACATGACTGAAACAAAACATAGGAAATAAAGTTGCAAAGTTTCCAAACTTTTTTTTTTTTGCATACACAAAGTGTTGTGGCTATTTAATAAGTATAGCATGCAATGAATATCCACAAGAAGGAAACAAAAACCTTTTTTCTTCTCTTTACACTCTAGAGCAAGAACATGTATATCGAAGAAGCAAAACAGCAGAAATACAAACTTACTATTTCAAGCTAAGATCACTGAAACATCGTTGCTCTGTCAAATGATTCTTCGTGTACTGCGAACTTCACTGGATTTGACGAGCATATTTCTCTGCCATTGAGATCATTCTCAGGATTAGAAAAAGCACACACACACACAATTGCTTCAGTATCTTCTCTAGTTTCTATGTGTTAGACCCAAACTGATGACATTCCCTAATCATTGACAGATGAGAGTTTTTTCTTGTACCTAAACACTCTCTCCAAATTCTGTAAAAGGTTTCATCGTTGTTCAATGTTCATGATATACAACTTCAAACGTTTTCATCAAACAACAAACAAAAGCCTCTAGTTTCTGCAAACGTAGCAGTAAAAGCTATCACTCAACCCAACAAGTAATCCAATTCCAAAGAACACACCAAAAAAAAGCATCAGAGAACTAAAGATAGTAAGTACCTCTCTTCTCTACATCAACAGATATAGCATCACCACCTCCACAAAGAATCCAATCAAGAGCTCTATGAATCTTCTGCCTTTGCCTCCATCCGAGAACTCAAAGCTGTATTTGCTGGTCATGTTGTGATGCAGAAGTCCCCAATTCCTTATCCCTTGCTTGGCTTCTTTCTCAACGAGCTCGAAGATGTAAACCTCTGAAACACCTTCTTTCCTCAACGGTGTCCCAGATCCGCATCTCAGGTGAGCCAACAATGCTTTCAAGAACATTTCGCTGTACAGCAGCGTCGCATCAACTTCACCGGCATCGATTCCCGAGCTAGGCCAGCCAGTCTCCGCCACGATCACCGGAAGATTCTCGTGGCCCATGACGGCCATGGAGCTAATCACAGCGTCGACCATCATATCGAAGAGATTACGGTATCTCACTCCGGTGGTGAGGTCGTCTCTGAAGTTGAAAGGGAACTCCTCAAAAAGAGCGAATCCGATTGGGATCGAGAAGCTGGATCGGTACATGTTGTACGGGAAGAGATTGATGAGGAAAGATGAGTTGGTTCTCTCGAGGAATTGCAGAATCGGCCTGATTATCACTTCTCCGTTAGGTTGCTGAAACTGCGCCGACGAAGGAGGGAAAGCCGTGGGGACGATGTTGAAGAAAGAGAAGGTCGTGGACACCGAAATCTTGTAGATTCTCAGATCCGTGAGAGATAGGTGAACGTTCTGCATCGCCCGGAGGAGGAACGGCGAAACGTCCGGCGAGTACGAAATCGCGTCGTTACCGACGGAGATGATTGAGATCTTGGTGCGAGGGTAGAAGGGAAGCACATGGCGATAGACCCAGCGCATCGCGAGCGAACGGTTGGATGCGAGGAGAGGAACCAGAGGATTGGGAACGGAGAGGAAGAGGGAGACGTTGGTGTAGGCGAAGGCGCGAATCACCGCCGGATTGGAATCGAGAAGCCTCACCGCCGGAATCTTCATGGAAACAACCTTGGCGGCGATTCTGTCCGGCGAGATCATGACGGAACCGGAGATGGAGCCTGGAGTCGAGTACGTTACTCCGATCGTCGTGGCGGTGGTAGTCGTAGGGATAGCTATGGCGGTTAAGGAGATAAGGAGGAGGAGATAAAACGCGATAGAGTGCATTTTCTTCAGTCGCTTACTTTCTTGGAAGAGAGAGAGAGAGAGGAAGAAATCAGGAACTGAGAATTGCTCAAGAGACGAAAGGTTGAAGACGAAGTGCGGCAAAAGAAATTGGGCGGGAGGATTCTGTTAGAGTAGTCAGAGATTCTGTGTGCTACAGTCTATATTAGATACAGTAAGACTTACTCCGTACACAAGACGTTGAACGGAGTTTGACCAAAAGTCTACGCGTGTGCAGTCTACACGTGTCCTACGGAGTCTACTGTAGAACTAAAACCCTCTAACTCGTTCAGTGGCTTTATAATTAAGCACAAGGAGCCATGGATATTATAGAAGGAAACACACTGAAACTTCAAAAGGAAAGTCTCATATTTTTTTTATAGATACCAAATCACGACAACAAACAAGCGTAAGGAGGACATCAATGGAAAACAAAAGAACATCAAAGGATAGATTACACACTCACACACAAAACCAACCACAAAGAGAAAACAAACTGATTCAGTTTGACATAAACTTCAATTTTAGACTAGAGTAGGAAAAGTTACTGAATTTAAGATTCAGGAATCGTGGCTACTGGTGTACCAGCAGCGACTGCGGCGGCTGCAGAGCGTTTGATGGAAGCGGATTTGATCAAGTGGTTGTAGCTTCCCTTTTCCTTGAAGAGCTGAGCGAAATGGTGCTTGCAGTACAGGATTCCTTCAAGAGCTGCGTAGTTTGAAGGCGAAATAGGACAGCCTCCATGTGAGCACTTGAAGCAGGACTTGTGATATGTCTGGCTCTCCACTGTTACCTGCAGTTTTCAGAATCGGAAACGGATGTTTGTGACCACCAAAGAGCTTTCAAAGATCCCGGAAAGTGTTTTCATATTAAGTCATCATGTCAATAATTCACCAAAAAAGAGAACTATGGTGAGTCTGGCAAACTAAAGCAACAAGAACCGAGAATTCCAGGGTCTATGCATCTGATCAAAACATAAGTTTCCTTGCAAATTCTAGTAACTGAAAGGATTTTGTACTTAATCTCAACATGAACGAGAAAGCACAGGAGGATCTTTGCAAATGATCAAACTGTGTTTTACTGTAATGTATGCCAACATAGACGCATAGAGGACTGAAAAGTGATTCTAAGGGTATGTTAATAGGAAAATGCAAGAGTGATGAGATATGAAGAGTAAACGAAACACTAACCTTTTCGATAGGATACACAGTTTTACTGCAAGTGGCGCATTTCTCCTGTGTACCAGAGAACATGCCAGCAACTCGGCTAGGCGTTCTTGTCTGAGAACAAACCAAGAAAGGCGATATATAATATAAGATAAAACTTCAATCTGAGTAATGTAGCCAAAGAGTTTCTGTGAAAGAAAAAAAACATTTACCAGCTCAGGAGATGATTTCTCAGCCGGTTTTGCAGCTGTGCAAGAAAGAAGAGTTCCAAAGACAGATTATATATATAGTCAGAAGAAAGGCAAGTGAAAAAAATTAGATGAAAAGCAGAAAAAAAAAAAAAACAAGACTACTACATACGTGACTGAAAGTTCTTGTTGAAGCTACCAGACTCCTTGAAGAGCTGCTCAAAGTGAGGCTTACAGTACAACACACCTTCCATTGATGAATATCTGCTCAACTGAGAAGAAAAAGCCATTAACTTTATCAGTCTCTCTGCTTATGGGTAAAACGTGCATTCACTTTGTAAGTAACAACTGTGAAGCTTGCAAAATCAGACACAGAGCCATCATCATAGTAGTAATACATCATTTAAGGCAAACAGACAGACCTGAAGCCTGCTCTTGCAGTGAGTGCATTTGAAGCAAGATTTGTGATAGCTAACTCCATCAGCTGAGAGAAGCTCCACAGGGTACACCGTCTTCTCGCAAGCCTTGCATTTCTGCTGTGTTCCTGTAAAAGACATCCCTTCAAGCCTTTGCCTTTCACTTCTCCCTGAAAATTTTCAGAATCCATATAAGCAAATGAGGTAAGCAGAAGAAAACCCATTAAGCAAAATCCGTCCTTTCCTAAGCAATGTTCTAGATACGAGAGTAAGACGATCCGTTAATAATTGAAACGAGACGAAGAGTTTAGTGATTGAATCAGAAGAATCCAAATTTTAAAGAAAAACTGTACTCGGAGATATATATACGAAGCGGATCTCCAAAGAATGAGATCGTAAACCTCGAGAGAAATTGCTAAAAAGGATGGATCTATTACCTCTCCTTGAGCTGAGACCTTCCAAGATCTGATCCTCCTCGAACGAAACTGCAAAAAAAGAAGAACGCCAAATTAAGCAGAGGGATATTGAGAGACGCAGAAGGCGAAAGTCAACTTAGAAGAAAACAGAGCTGTTACGTAATGTTTCGTCGAATTAACGAAAATGGAGGATCTGTGTGACGATGAGGACGATGATGAGGAAGGAGAAAGAAGAAGATGATCCAGCAAAGGAATAGAAATTATCGGTGATTGGGTAAAATCCTTTTTAAGCTTTCTCTTTGCTGGAGGAGAGACAGTGGGGTTCCACTTTGGCTTGTCCTATCTCTTAATTGTTTTTTTTTTTAATTAGAATTCAGAATTGTAACAGCAAAATAATTGAAGATTATAGGTTACAAATTAAAAACAGAATGGAATATAACAATGATTTGTGTTTTTTTAATCTTACTGTATCTATTACCAAATAAAGGGTTTAACTATCTGTTTATAACGTTATTCTCCTGGAATATGTACCAATTTCTAACAACTCCAAATTAGGTAAGTGGAATTTTTTGAATTATTGTTCATAATTGTTTTTTGTAACGCATCCATTATTATCCACAAGTCATGACTAGATTGTCTTGTTATTTAGTTAGGTTCCTGCATTTTCGTCTACCAAAAAAAACAAACAGTTTAATATCTGCCATCATACAGAAACAAGAATTGTTTATTGCAAAACTTTCGAAGAAAAAAAAAATATGCGACGACAAGTAAGCGTCCGTTGCTCTGACCGAATTGCAAAAGAATGTTACATAACATCGGATGTCATATACCTAAAAGTTGAATATAAATGCAAGAAAGCGTCATAACTAGTTAAGGTGAAAAAGTTTCGACATTTCAATTTAAACACAGTTTTTTACCACTTAATTTCTTCAACAATTTTGACAATCAAATTGCAGAAACATCTTTTTCGGGAATTCCATCAAAACTTATATTATCCCAAGAAAAATAATGTTACTTCGTCTAGAGATAAACAAAAAACGACAAGAGTCTAAGACAAAAGTGAATAAAGGATGATAAACTATAGCTTCTGAGAAATGATAATGGAGCTTCCTTCTGATAGTTGTGAAATGAAACCCAGTTCTTGAATCTACCGTCCTGCATTAGTAAATCAAATCAGGATCCATGTTCATCCAGAGAATATATAAAACCTGAATTATGCATTAACAAGGATGTGTCTAATATCCAACCTTTCAATTATAATGCAAAATCTCCGTTAACATGATTAGGACAAGATTAAAGCAATACACAGTGAATAAACCTAATCTAATCTCTCAGGGTAACGCGAATCAATGCAAAAGGTATAATTTTTAGTCATGAATAATCCTAAAAGAAGAGAAATAATATGTGACAAATGAGTATTTTGAGGTATATTATTTACCTCATATGTTGCTTGGGTACATGAAGACTCTGACTCTAGCTCCCTGAAAGTAACACAACAGTGAAAAAAACGCTGAGTCACAGTGCTAAACATTTTACAACACACAACGTTATTGACACAGATATGTTCCAAAAGATAATGAAGTTACCATAGACTTAGGTGGTAGGTTTGAAGTGAACTTGGCACGGACAACACCGCTGTTACCATGAGGCCTAGTGACTTTGCCCCAGATGCAACGGTAGTGCGAACCATCCTTCTTTGTCTTTGCCTTGTAGATGTAAGCCATACGCTTGCCCTTGTACCATGCAACCTCCTCTGTGGTATTCACACCTTCAATCTGAACGAGTGAAGTGTTGGGATATTGGTTAGACTTGGACCTGAAAATTAATTTACACAATAGTTAGTAAATCAAGCTTTAAATCACTTTACATAAGCAATCAACACGGTTAAAACAGCTGCTTAAGAGTTAAATGGTCTGCAAGGAACTGCATACAATAGCTCAAAATGTATCATTTGAAGAACCCTAAACCAGAAAAAGGCGCAATCTTTTAACACAATAACAGCAGAAGCAATGGTTGTGAAAATTCTTTAAGAGAGTTCCACAATAGCCTACCAAATTCGAATCTTATTTACTCATGAATATTGGAGCTAAACACTACAATCTCCCACCACAAACACAACATCGAATTCCGAAAACTTGAGAAAACAAAAGGGCAAGATTGAAATCAAAAAGTACCTCTTGTAACCGAGGACTGTTCCTCGAACGTACAATCTGCAAACAGGAAAAACAAAGATTTCGTAAGATAAACCAAACCCACTAATCAAACAAATTCGAATCGGAGATACAGCTGAAACAAAGAGAAGTGTGTTCGTATTCGAGAATCTAATTACCTAACTCTCTCTCCTTGGCGTCCCTTCATTTTCAATCCTGCGACTGCTGTCTTCTTCCTCCTGCCTCTTTTATGCCGGCGAAACGAACCACAGAGAGAAACCCTAGCGTTCGTTATTAGGTCAACACTATATATGGGATTCATAAATAAGTGCAGCGTGAAACTCTAATGGGCCTATCTGTGGGTATCTCAAACTATTGGGCCCAACATAAAAAACAGCTTGGCCCAACATGACCGTATTTTCTCAAAGTAATTTAACCAAGAAGTAGGAGGAAGTCCAGTAACCAAATTAAAAGATACGCTTTGCTAAATGACTCAATTCAACATTACAGCCAAGCTACTAAGCCATTTTGGGCTAACGTAACTATCCAGTTACTTCTCTATGTCCATACATCTGTGTCATAAAAATGAAGAGTCCATGTAAGCTTCAGATTGGATTTTTTTAACCCAAAAAATTTGCTACTATTCATGTACGTTTAAAACGTGATCACTGATCAAATGACATACGTTAAACTTTTTTCATCACATCCTTTTGATTTTTTTTTTTTTTTGAACTTATCACATCCTTTTGTTTGTCACAAGTAAGAAAGAAATCCTTAACCTATGGCCACATGTTAGTTAATAAAGTAAAAGAGATGTTATTCATAAGTTTTATCGAAAAACGTAAAAATGAAATTTCTAATTGTGTCCAAATACAATAATTTGTGTCTTAGAAATGAATTGTGTTGTATGTGTCTCTGATCCGTTGATGATATATATGCATTTGCAGGAGATAAATACTGGAGACTTATTAAGATGTTAGTAGACATTGGTGTCTGGGGTATGAACAATCCTGATCACCGTCTTACACAAGTCAATGTGATGATTGTCGCAAAAAATATCAAGGAAGAGACCGAGTTCGTCCCTCTTATTCAAAACTTGTTTGCTCTATGTTTCAATGTTTTCTTAGTGGTGCCTCATGATTGCAAACCAGAAGAAGTGAGAGCTTCTTATGCAGATTTCGCATGGTATTGGAAAACCCTACTTGAAGCAGGAGAGTCTATGCCCCTAACCGAATTAGAAGGCCTGTTAGATCAATCAAAACAACTCTTCTTCAAACCATCTCAAGACGATTTTGATAGATGTCAAATCGACAACTAGGGCTCCATCAAAAGTGATACTTTGCAGAGGCTTTGATTTCGTGTATGAGAAATTTTCATTAAACTATGTTTATGTTTTGCGTTCAATTATTAAGTTTGCTCAATACTGGATCCTTGATCGTATTTTTTTTAAAAATGAACACATTTTTTTAAAAAAAAAATTCTAACAATAATCTAAGCTGGGGTGAAATACGCTGACCTCTCCTGTAAAAGGAAACTACTCGAATATAATGGAAAATGATCAGCAAAAATGTATATTTCCATATTTGAAGTATAGAAAACATTTGTAAACTATAAGGAAATTAAAGGGAGTTATGTTACAACCGATTCCCAAAATCTTATACTCCCTCCGTTTTTCTTTATAAGATGTTTTAGAAACTTTTTTTGTTCATAATTAGATGATGTTTTCAGAAATCAATGCAAAAAGTAATTGTTTTATTCTATATATTATTTTTCTATTGATTGAATTGTTTTGGAATTGATGTTTGGTTTTGGAAAAAAAGAAAATTAAATAATTTCTTAATCTTTGTACAAAACCTTAAATATTATATATAAAAAAAATAGAGGAAGTAAATAATAGTGTCATTTTCAAAAAAAAAAAAAAAATCGCATAAATAATAGAGTACCAAAAACATTTCGAGCTCTAAGGTTTTGTTTTGCGGATTAGCTTCAGTGTCCATTTGGCTTTTGCCTCTCATCGTGATTTAGCATACCGCTGAGAAATCTTCCGAATCTTCTTTCAACAAACAATACCCTCCTCTCATCGGCAGCCACATATTGTAACCCTAAATTTTTCCTTGCATGGGGTCTTCGTACGAGTGTAAGATCTGTATATCTCTTGATCCAACTTGATGGATATTGTTTGTTTTCTAATTGTTTATGCGTTTGCCTGTTCCCAGTTGTTGACACACGCGTCTTCTGGGACGTCCAGGATTTTCCAGTCCCTCAGAATCGCGATTTGGATTCGTTTTACTTTAAACTAGAAAGAGCTCTTGAGATTGAGGGTTATGTTGGTGAACTGTCAATCTATGCTTATTGTGATGAAAATAATGAGGAAAATTAGGTAACTAATGGTTGGTAGCTTCTTCTGAAGACTGCCAAACAAACCTAGATCCCAATTTGCAAATCAGACCGGTTGAAATGTACTTGGACAGAGCAAAAGTGTTTAAAATGCCTTTTTTGTGTCAGGAGGCTTTGGTTTTTGTGTGTCAGAAATTTCACATTAAACTCTGTTTTATGTTTTGCGTTCAGTTATTAAGTTTGCTCTGTCCTTGATGGTTATTTTTATAATTAGCAATTGAAGAATAACACAACATTTTCATTGCAAATCAATTAATGCTTCTCTAAGTTTGCGGTTTTGATCCATAATCGAAGGTGTTTAGATAGAGTAACGAGTAGATTTTTTTTTTTCCTCTTTTCCTTGTGTAAGAATTAACCTTTTTTCAAATTTTGGTATAAATGATTACAACGTCAACAGTGTAGAAGAATACAAAAGTACAAGACTTGTTAAACATCAGCAAAAACATGGAAGTTCTTGGAATCAACGGTGATGAGTCTAACAGCAGCGATAGCAGCAGCGAGAGACATTAACCCAAAGAAGCAAACATTAAGCCAATGCCATAGCTTCGAAATTGTAGTAAGCTTACTGTTCATAGCTACAAGGTACATGTGATTCGCTAATATGAATGTGAGAGGGAAAGTGCTTATCGCTCCCGTGAGGCTCATGAAATCTCCGAGGAAAGGCAAAAGCGCAGAGAGAAGAGTGCTCACCGCGATGTAGCTTCCTCTTGCTACTGTTCTAAACAAGAGATTCTTCAATGCCAATGGACTTCCTTTGATTCCGAACTTTGTGTCCATATACTCATAACTCGGACTTGCAAAAATCTACAAGAAAAACATATACACAATATAAAGGTTTAGACTTTGCGGTTTAGACGCAGAAACCCATTGCAGGTTTGTGTTTGTGTTTACTTACATGCAAAGAGATAACGGATTGGAGAAAAGCAGAGATATTGGCGAGGGCTTTAACCCAGAGAGGCCCACTAACGCTGTTTAACAGATAAGTAGATGTGGAGGAACCGTAAGCCCAATAACCGATGAATGTAACGGCGTACATTGGTAAAACACCAGCAGTGAATTGAAAATACAGAGCCTTCATCATGTTTTTAACCACCGGTTGCTTCACTGTGGCCTAATCATTCATTGCACAGAGATTAGTGTCAAGAACAGAGAACGATGATTCCGAGGCATGAACAGATGGATTTTATCGATGAGAGAGACCTGACCTGTATCTCCGGGAGCATTCCTGTGTTGAATGCAAAAACTAGATTTGCTGCTGCTCCTGTTATGGTAAAGAGTTTGTTTATTGATGATCCTTGTATGTTGTAATCTCTTGAAGGTTTGTTTACTCCTACAGAAGAAAAAAAAATAAAAAATCAGTTTTATATAAGTAGCTTTTTGTGTTTATAAGGATAACCATTGTGAGGTTTTGTATAGCATCAAGAAAGTTTACCATCTTTAGCTGAAAGAACTATTGCAACAACAATGTAGATCAAGCTGAGGATTGTTGAGACTCCGAGCCAGAATCCAAGAGCTGATAAATGAGGAATGCCGATTGCGAAAAGCGCACAGACAACACCGGAGATGGCGATGAAGTGAGGCAGCTTCATCACACTGTCATCTCTAAAAAGTACATAAACTGCCTGCACAATGCAAGAAACAAGAACAATGACATTTTGTTTTTCTTCAAAGTTTAGTTAACTTTAACATTTTTTTGGCAACAAATGGAGTTTGTTATTGGTCGTCGTACCTTTAAGGCGGAACCAGCAAGTATGATGAAGCCACAATTGATCATGAAAAGATTGACATATTGCAATCCCCAAGTAACACGATACATCTTTTTACCTGATCGATCAAGCAAATACATCTCTTGTAAAACAAACCAAACTAAGAGAGTAAATGCTGAGAGAGATAGAGAGAGAGAGAGAGAGAGAGAGAGAGAGAGAGAGAGAGAGAGAGAGAGAGAGAGAGAGAGAGAGATGAGGTTTTTGTTACCGTAGATGAAGCCTGCGAGATCTCTATAACGAATGTGTCTTTTGCCACCAAACTCATGAAGCTTGGCGATGAGAGAGTTTGCGTAAAGAGAGATTGCGGTAGCAAGAATGAGACCAACCACACCACCGGTCCAACCCAAAGGAACCATGACTGTACCGGAATATCCCAACACATAGGCGCTGTTTATACCGGTTGTCAAAACAAATGCTACCTGAAACCATGAATCTGTACAATTTGCTCAGCAGTTAGAAAACTGAGTCTACATAGCAAACTTTCCAATTTTGTTGCTAAAAAAAACTTTAAGGCAAGAGAGGAAACACATCAAGACAACATTTTTTTCACAAGAGGGTGTCAACAAAATCATCAAAGACTAACATATTTCTCAACAGGGCAACACCAAAATCATCAAAGACTTTTATCATTTTTTGGAAAGCATTCACCATTTCAGTTCATTGATGTTTCAGTTTTCAGCAGCTGTAATATAGATATAACTATTACTATTACACTTGCTATGCATGCATCACTGACATATATGTAAAATTAAGTGACAAAGTTTCAGTTAATCTGACAAAGAAGACAAAAAAATGTTAAATAAACTCTTTTGAGTTTTTTTTTTTGTTTCTCCCATTAAAAGTTAAATTAGAAACGAGCACCATTCCCCAGTTGAGTACACTTTGTTAAGACAAAACAAAACTTTTTAGTTTTTCAAAAAGCTCGAGAATCACTCAATAAACGACAAGTTGGTTCAGCAAAACAACCCGAAAACAAAAAGAAACAAAATAGGACAAATTTTCAATAAAATAAAAAAGCTTGAAGAGAGAAAGGTAAGAAGTCCGAACCGCTGCTAATCTGATGAGCAGTCTCGGGAGTTTCAAGATCGAACTTTTCCACTGCAACGACTTTACGGTTCCTAGCATCATTCGTATCCATGGTTCCCACAAGAATCTGTTAAAATGCTTCCGTCTCTTCTTCCTCCAAAAACCCTTTTACTTTTCTTCTCCAACGTTTATCTGTGTCTTCCTCCTCAATTTCGAGAATTCTGCTGCTCACAATAAAAAAGACAGCTTTTTTTTTTATTTCCTAGAAAGAAGATTCAGGCAAGATTGGTAACAGACGAGTTTATTCCACGGAAAAAGTGTGAAATGGAATTGATGAAAACGAAAAGATGGATTCTGTTTTCAAGGTGTTTGATCATTTGAGTCAAAATTTATTTGATGGGTCAGAAAGATGGATACGTCTCTGTGTGTCTGAATTACTTGACACGAGATCCTATAAAATGGGCAACGAAAGTTTTTTAGTGAATTTTTTTATGAAGAAAAATACTTTTTTTTGTTTTGGTCCTCTAATTTAAAAGGATCTCGACTTAAATGTAAAGATATGAAAGGACGACAAAAAAAAAATGTAAAGATATGAAAGGATCTTTAATGATTAGTAATGGTTTAGTTACGGAAAGTCAGATCATTTGTTCCAATCAACGAAATTATAATACGATATGGTTATCAGATATGAAAACAAAAACGCATTTTCCTAATTTAATTACTATGTCAGTATCCGTGTAGAGTTTTCAACTTGGGAAATACCAACAAAGGACCGATAGAATATTAAAAATTCAATATTGTTCATTTCTAAGTTCAAACATTAAATTATTTTACCATTTTTGTTGACAATTTAATTTTTATATGCTCGCTGATTTAATTTCAGAAAAAGCCAAACACTGTCCAATATATCTTGATTTAGTTCATTTAAAATTATTAATAAATATCTAAATAATGTCTATTAAATGTTAATAATTAAACAGTTCGATACAGATATGTTGCCTTTTTTTGTTATTAATTAGTCTTTTCAATTCATTTTCGGGATACCATTTTCATCCTCTCTTTGCCAACAATTTTATGATTCTCATTCCCAACAATTTCTTGATATATACATGTATTTTCTCTCTTGATATTTCTTTCCAAATCTATTGACTTTTCTCTCCAAATTTCAACATTTAGCAGATCTGGTGAGATTCCAAAAATACTATAGTTAAAGGTAAAGAATCTTTGCACAACTTAATCTTTTATCAAACGAATTCTTTGATTTAATGCTTAAATTTTTTGGAGATCTTGAATCCATCTTCGATACTCTCAATATTTCTTTTAATTGTTTATACAATCATATACTATTTATATATATACATGTCTAAAATAATAAATAACTCATTTTTTATACATAATAATAAATACATATTTATATAATTAAATATACAGTTATATATTTTCTTAACATGTTAACTTATTTCTTTTTCCAGGCAAGTTATATCTATAATTTTATATGAAGATCTACAATAAACAATATATGTCTATATTGTCAAATGTAAAATTATTTATTTTTTTCACATGTTAACTTATTTCTTTAGGTAAGCTATATCTATAACTACATATATATATGTCTAAAATAATGAATATATATATATATTTTTTTTTTTTTTAAATGTCAAGTTATATGTTTTTAAAATATTTTAACTTATTTCTTATATCATGTTAGTATAAATGTATATTTATAGTATTTTATTTAATTTTTTATTTTTTTAGTTAACATATTAAGTTTCGTATTAGTGTATAGGTGCTCTATATATATGTAGTCGTATATACATAATACGACATCATTAATTATATAAAATTCTATAGTGTAATTTGAATATAATGCAATATATTATCATTAGAGGTGGTTCTCAAACACTATATATCCAAATATATGGTGTCAATTACACATAAACATATTATAAGTTATTATAAGTTAGATTAATATATTCAAATATTTAAATTTATTAAAGTTAATGTTTTTATTGGTTATACCAGGTAGTGAATTCCAGGCACGTTGTGATAGCATTTGTAAATATATATAGTAAATTTTATCTTTTTGATATACTTTTGCCATTTTCTTCTAGTCCATAAACAATTTGTCAATTTCCTAATTAAAACCGACATCCATCTCTTTATCCCTTTTAACTTTCGTGAGTAAAAAGTTTAAAAACAAAAATGTAGATATAAACATTGAAAAGTCAAAGAGTTGTAGGTGAGACATCAATGTTGACTTACATATTTTTTTATTACTAAAATTATTTGTAGTGTATATCTTTATTTTTTACTACTAAAGTAGAATAATTCTAGAATAGAGGTAAGTTATGTTTTAATATATATCTTTATTTTTATTCTAGAACTAAACAATTCAACAATTATCTTATTTTTAAATTTATTTTACAAAATTTTAATAATAATTGTAGAATTTAAATATTTATAATTATCTATTTATAATATTTACAAATATTAAACTATTTTCATATTAAAAAAATAATTTACAAATAAAAAGATTCAATTCTAAAATTGAAGTAAAATTTAAGTTCACTTTAAATATAGAGTTCATTTTAGAATAGAAAATAGAATATAATTAAAAAAAATTACTTCAAAATAATATTTAGAATAAAAAATAGAATAATATTAGAGATACTCTAAGTCTCTAACCAAGTGGCATTATATTCCTTTGAATTCTCATGACCTGATCTTTTAAAAAAACGAAACAAGTCTCTCTTTTTAATCTAACAAACTGATTCGTATATATATGCTTCGACTTTGACTATCCCTCCCACTTGTAATCCGAAGCTTATTCGACGCAGGCTAAAATCATAAATAAGTTTTAGATATTATGACTACACGATTCTCTTAAAAAAGAGTACTATCACCATTTCAAAACAAAAATATATATAGTATATATTAATGGTTCGAATATAAATATTTTATTTATATGATTTGGTTAATTTTATCACTTAATTTTTCCTGAATTTAATCACTTGATTGCGCTTTTGTTTTGTTTTGAATCTCCTTCTAAAAATACACTACAATGAAGCACGTTTAAATTAGAGTAAATGATAGACATACAAATTATTTTATACAACAAAGCACATAAAAAGATTCTTAGTAATCTGATAACCTGACAACAACTTTTTCGAATGAGCGAACCAAATGAAAATTGCTGATTTTTAGAAAGTTTTTACTAGTACTATAAATCAATTAAAATTCATTAATCAACTTTATATATCGTCGATTTAATTAATTGAAAGTTATTTCGAATATATTAGTGCAACAATCATCCATCTACTTCTTCTTCTTCTTTTTGTCGGCAACAATCATATATTTCAGTTTTTTTAAGAAGCCAAGTTAAGAATAAATGTATAAAACGAATTTTAAAATCAAAATCAACCTGTACGCAATCTATTTGGCTTGACTTTATGGAAAACAAAAAGTCAATACTCATGCAAAACTTTTCACATTTTTCTTCTCATCGCGTTCACATGCATTCGACTTTTATTATTGACATCAAGATATTACATTATTACTGTTCACATGCATTCGACTTTTATTACTATTGACTAGATCAAGATATTAGTAATACGTGGATTTCATCAGTATATTAATTTTTACTTCTGAGTACAGGTAAATCATAAATGTATGACAATAGAAAACATTATCTTTAATAAATTAACAAATTTATATGTATAGTTAAGAATGAATTTTTTTTTTCAAATCACGGTCAAGTTCGTTTACTTTAATTAGCATCTAAATAAATCTTTGCTCTTGATTTATCATTTACGTAAATAGTTCTATTATTAATCTTTGAGTTTTGTTACAAAAGTTTTGTATGATTGATTGTCAATCTACTTGCAGGTAAGTATCAGATCTTTTGACTGTTCGTATAGCTACATGTTAGGTCTATTTTGCATAGCATCTATTTGGATCAGACCAGTAAAGTTCTATTCAAGGTTATCACGATGACTGGCTTTATAAGGGCTTTTAGAAGGTTGATGATAATTATGAGGATTCCAAAGAATCTGCTCAGTCAACCCATCAATCCCTACAGATCTACCCAAATCCCTACAAATCCGCCTTCATTAGTTGCAGATCTTGGAGTTAAGGTCATATCTTCAATATGAGCCCTTAGATCAAGTTGATCCTCACCATCCATCTTGGAGGTGTTTTTGTATAAATAGGGGTGGGATTCCTCATTTGTAATCACTCACTCATTTCTTGAATAAGAGAGCTATTCAAACATTTTTCCTTCTTTCTTTCAAGTTTAGTTTAAAAAGGGTTGGGTTTTCTTGTGAGTCAGGCTGCCTAGTCTATTTTCTGGGGCAAAGAGAGGCTAGGGCCGCACGGAATTGATCCCAAATATCAAGTCTGTGACACGTGGTATCAGAGCCGAGTTCCGTTCAAAGGCCGAGCAATGTCGAACACCGAGGATGTTCTCAGGAGTACCAATGGAGGCGAAGACCAGGACGGCCTTGAGAACATTACAAGGAGGAAGCGCGACAGGAGCAAGGTCTGTGATGAGGTCGGGGCTATGGGGATAGCCATTACCGATATGGGTGAACGACTAGAGCGAGTCGAACACTCGACTTCTGAACTCGAGAACACACTGTTCAACGAGATGGCAGAAGTCAAGAATGACTTGGGTGGGATCGAGGGGCGATTCACCAGGTTGGAGGAGACAGTGATGGGGACGGTCCAATCGTTGAAGGTGAGCATCGAAGTGATGCAAGAAGATCTCGCATTGTGCAAGAAGGCAGTTGTCAATGGAGGTACCAACAACCCCGGGACGGGAAGAGTGGATTTCCCGAGACCCTCCCGTTTTGATGGCTCAAGGGATGCCAAGGAAGTTGAGAATTTCCTATGGCAAATGGAGCAGTACTTTGATAATCTTGGTCTTACCGATGAGTCGGCAAAGATCAAGGCGGCCACATCCTACCTCATGGATACGGCCATGCTGTGGTGGCGGAGGCGCCATAGTGACATTGAGAAGGACACATGCCGGATGGACACGTGGGAGGAGTTCAAGAAGGAACTCAAACGGCAGTTCTATCCGGAGAATGTTGTCTATGAGGCTCGGAGGAAGCT